GAAGCGAAAAAATCCATTAGGAGTGTGACAGTACGCTAGCGCACGTACAAGAATAAAGTACATTAAAGTAATTAATTGCTATATTAATTTTAGCGTTAAAATGTTTCTAAAGTTATTTGCTCTTAAAATATTCCGGTTTCGTTTATTGCTTTTTATTTAAATTAAAAAAATCTATCAGGAGTGACTAGCGCATGTACAATAAGAGTAAGGTACAATTATTCAAAATAATTATTCTGAATGTTTCTTTGCATTCAATATTTTGGAGGAAAAATAATAAAATTCTAATACCTATTTTTTCTTTATTCTGTACGTGTTTTTCGGAAGTGGGGTAAAACGTGAAGTCAGCATTTTCACATTTGATATTAATTTCCTGTGAATGAATAGGAACGATAAATTGGCAATTGAAGCAACAAATTAGCAATAAAGCACTTAATTATAACATATGTATAGTCGAACTTTTTTTTAATAGTGAGAGTGCTAGGTTCACAGAGATGAAGTGTGACATTTGTGAAACAATTTGTCGCATTTCAGTTAACTATTTATCTCAACAAACTTCGAAAAAAATGAAAAAAACTGGATTGAATGCACTTCCTATTTAATTTAATAATTCAAGGACTATTAATTAAAAATCTCCCGTTAAATTCGCGTTAAGCTGTAGCGGCATACTTGAAAGTTTGATACGATACAACTGGCAGCTCACTGTGTGTGTGTGTGTGTGTGTGTGTGTGTGTGTGTGTGTGTGTGTGAGAAGCCCAGCTTGAATCCCTGCACTTTTAACATTCGTTTGCGCACATCCCGCATTGTTCTATTCTTCTTCTGGCCGGTGCCAGAAAGCTCAGCGATATATATATACGGTGAGTTTTTATGAGGAATTTTACTCGCGAAGGGATTGCCGGGCGACGGGTGGCCCGAGGAAAGCAACAAAGGACACATCGAGCGCGAATGAAAGGAGGTAGTAAGGTCCGCGAGAGACATCGGCGAATATCGCGGCTTTCCCGCCTTTGCTTTTTGCTTCCTTCCTTCCAGCCCTCCCTCATCTTTGTCAGGCCATAATTCTCACCGGCTCCACTTATTGCCGTTCTCCTCCTGTGTGTTGTCTGCCTGGTTTATATGGCCGCCACATACTCGGCTTAAATCTCCGCTCCGATTCGCGTTGCTAGGTTCTTTCAATTAGACCCGACTACCCTGCGTTACGCTCGTAAGCATTTTGATCCTGCTTTGATGCTGGTACTATTGGATTAAGGTCTCAGCAAATATTCGGTGAGATGCGTTAGAACCACGCAAGTTATATACGAGTAATATAATTACTTTTTATTTATCATCTCAAATACATTTTATACATAAAATTTCGCAAGTTGGCAAAAAAATGCAAAAATCATATTAAGAGATATAAGCTAGGATAATGGAGAAAAAGAAAGCTTTAGTTTCCCTCCATTTTCCTCGTATTTCTTAATATAATTTTTGCTAGCTTGCGAAATTTTATATATAATATGCATTTGAGATGATATGCTTTGTTTCTGTAATATTTGCATTTGCAAAGTGATCACAAAATTATCAGAATACTTTTTCAATATAAATTCTTTTGTCGATAAATTTTTTTTCTCGACGAAAATATATTGAGAGATCTACGGTTTTCAAGTAATTAACGATTGAAAATAAGGATCTTCTGGGAAACTAAAGTTCAAAGGGGAAAATAGATGATCAAAATCATATTCTTCAGTTAATTTCAAAGGAAGTTAACTTTGGTAGAACTTTAATTCCAAACTTACAAAGATGTATAATCTAGGAAAATCGGGGAAGCGTTTGTGTGCGATAAATAATGATCTCCCCCGACATTTTCGCTAAGGAAAAATTGTTTGGTCGTAGAAGCTTACGGCTGAAAGAACATGAAGAGTGTATGAAAAATTTCATAGAAAGATATATCAATGGTAGAGCTTTATTCCGCAGATGTATACCTAATGCGCATTCGACCTTTGTTCACCGAGAAATTAATCAGAGACTTAATTACCTAAGTGCAATTAATACGGCTGACTTTCTACCACACAGGTTACTTTGATAAAGCGAACCTGCCTGTTTCAAAAGAAAATCCTTTGGTTTAGCCATTTGAAATCGTCACTTTTGTAATCACACAGTACATAGTAGCCGGATATCTGTTCTTTTATAAAAAAAAGAAAAGGGTAAAATATAGAGCGCAAGCCTCAGTACTATTATACAAAGAAAATCGCGAATCGTCGATCATATTAAATATTGAAAAATTAAATTACGTTAAAATAGTAAGATCTAAAAATGCAAATGAGCGCGAAGGCAATTTTTCTTCGCTCTTTATTTGTAATAAATTTTTCATTGAAAAATTTATCTTTGCGAAAATTTCAGTTTAAAAAATGTCCCGTACGATTATCAACCATAATTATATTAACGAAAAACGAATATTATTTTCTCTCTGATTATTTTACCAGAAGAAATTTTTGAGACAACGTAAAACATCCGTGCTGGGGGATCAATAGGATTCATTGATCGAAAGCTAACGTTTTAGATGACGATTACGAGTGTGTACTTTGGCGAGAAATGACATCTGGAGAAGTGACAATGACAGCACCGGGCATTAGAGTAATCCAACGAATGTGGCTTCAGTTCGGTATCAAAGTTTTCTTTCATTTATGTCGGGCTCTCTTTTGTTGCATCGCGAAACAAAAAATGCGGGAGAGAAAATACGTACGAATATCAAGTACACATGTATACACATGTCTCTGAGAAAACCTACGTGATAACATTAAAGCATTTTCTGTCGAAATTTAACAATGATTTCTTCTTAGGAAAAAATTCGTAATTTTCAAATTGTCAACATTAATTTTTTTATCTTATCGATTTAATTATTAAATTACACTTTTGTCGATTAAAATCCATTTAAAATTGGGTAAGAGTAACACATATTTACTTCAATCCTAGATTTTTTATATTAAGTAAAATTCTATAATCAGATCTCTATTTAAATTGTGCTGATGCAAAAATTGCAAGAAATATAGAAAAAAAAATAGTTTCGTTATTTCCGAGATATTTTACATTAAAGTCGATTTGCAACACGATAGTACAATGCCTCGTCTCTTTACAACATCGGCTGGCGCGTGATCGGTGATCCAAGCTCGATGCACCGGTGCATCGCATGCAGCAGGCGTTGCTAGACGTCACTAGGGAATTCGTCCTGGAACCACACCGCCGCACCGGTTTCATTACATCCGAGACAGGGAGAAAGAGAAAGAGAGGGAGGGAGGGAGGGAGAGAGAGAGAGAGAGAGAGGGAGAGAGAGGGAGATCATTTCCGTAACTACCATCGTATCCACTGTGGTGGATCACCCGATACGTCCCGTCGCGCTTTAGACGCATTAAATCTGGAGAACTTCGGAATTAATTACGGCGCTTTATATCGAATCCGTCTGGCGCGGATCTTAAGTTTAAGCTCGAGCTTGCTTCTCTTGTAAACAACAATTGAATTGTCAGCGGTGGCAACAAGTTGCGTCGTTTGGCAAATTTCTGGTTATCCGTATTCCGCACCATTTGCCGGGTATCTTGGAAACCTTCGGCAGTCAATAACAACGCCTAACACATTTTCCAAATGAAAATGTTTAGAATGTGTGTATTATCTTTTTCAGTGGCAACTCACGATCGAATAAACGCATAAACGTTCGATCACTAATTTTGCGCATCACACAGGATTGGATTAGGTAGAAATTGATACAGAGTTTGATAGAGAATTAGGCATGATTATATTCTTATTAAGTTGTGTAATTATTTAAACATATTGATGACGCACGTACATATACCTGTGCCCCCATCACAGAGATTATCGCGGAATGATATCTTCATTAAATTTGAACAGATAAATATATCCGCTATAGATAGATTTGGACGTCAATTTTGCGCAAGATATTCAAACGGGGTTGCTCTTATTAAAATGCTAACGCGCGTAAAGTCACATTTATATACTTTATTGCAAGAGAATCATTCGGCAATCGAGCGCCGTCATTAACCAGTATTGATTTTCTCTGAATTAATGAGATCGCTGTAAAATTTTCAGGACTTTAAATCCCGCCTCTACCTTCGGCCTCGATTCTGCATATGCTTCGCGTTTATTCATGCCGCCCATTTAATGTACCTGCTTGCCTTCCGCGGTGGTGACTATCGTCGCGCTCTCCCTCGAATTTCAATCATTCGACGTTTTTCAATTATCTCCACCGGCGACGACCGAGCGCACCGCGTGCGAGTCCCATCGCTCGCGAAAATGCAAGCCGATGTAAATGGAACGTACGCAACCCGCGTTACACCAACTGCCGCCGGTGTCGTCTGGGCTCATTGATGCAGCCACAGGCGACACGCGATTCAGAATATTTTTCTTGTCAGCGGCGCAGCAGAAAATTGCCAGTCTTTCATTGGAATCTTCTCGTCGGAATGTACGTTCTCTTTTTACTTTTACTAATACGTCCAATTCTTATGTCTCATTTCCTCGTATATTCTATAAATATGATGTATGTTTAGGTTAATTTTGAACAAATATGGAACTACAAAATGCTCTTCAAAATAATTACGTCAGAGTAAATTTGGCAATTATTTCTCTTGATAATAGAAAGATAAAAAAATTTGAGTAGTTGTTTAGAGATTAGTAATAACAAAACAAAAAATAAATAATACAAATTAATCAATTGAAATCGTCACAATCGCGATTAGACCGTATTCTTAATTCTTTAAAACAAAAATTCTAAGCAGTAGCTACGCTCATCTACCTTTCACCGATATTGCGAGTTACATTCTCTTTACGGTATATAAGAAAGCGAGTTGTACATCATTAGCAGCGTTAGGCAATATCGCCAATAATAATTCTTGCAATAAGGCGAGCGCCCCGTTGCGCGCTTAAGATATCGCTATTTCAGATGCAGGCTCCAAGTTGCCTCGCGCGCCAACGAGGGAGGTCTCTCTCTCTCTCTCTCTCTCTCTCTCTCTTTCATGCTGTTTCTTAAAACTCATTTAAATTTGCGAATATACATCAGCCGTATATTTCATCGCGAGAAATAGGATCAGTACGTCACGAGTCGTAAACGAGGAAAAATGGCACGCGATGTTGATAACGACGATAACGATCGCGACATCATATGCAGTAAATATAAACGGCCACAATATGCAGACGAGCTCGCCGTTGATTTTCTTCCATTTTAATCTCAATAAACGAGAGGTTTAATTTTTTCATACGGCCAATGGCTGAAATTTAAAGCGTCAGGATTAAATTAAACATAGCGATAAATTAAATGTTGAAAATGTAAATAGAAGATTAAAGTTTTGCTTTTATAGCTAATTTCCAAAAACTCCATTTCCCCAAATTCAACAGGTTGCCACGCCAAATGATCAACTAACAAATTCTCGCTAAGAAAAAAAAATCAATTTCGATCGGATGTAAAAAAATCTCCATGAAGATCGCAGGGGTTGTTTACTCATCGTTAATGCGCGCACGGAACCGACGCTGTAAATTACAAAGAGAACCGGAAGAATTCACGGCCGTCCGAGTTTTCTCGGATATAAATCCATGCGCGTGATATCGGTCTTACGACCAATTAATCGCGGCAGCCCCGACGACACACATACGGTAAATTATTCATCGCGCGTCGCGCGACATTAGCCTTCTTCATCTGTAACCGTTGCCTCGCGCGCGCACACACCGCGGCGTCGCTACCGCGCTTAATTTTATCGCCGCTCGCGTACTCGCTCGTTTGTCAAATTATCTCTTTCGCGCGCTGCTTCAATTATATCCCCTGGCGATGATAAGCGCGGAATTGCATTTACGCGCACGACGGCGTGGCGACACACGCGCGGGGAAACGCGACACGCCGCAGCGTGTGTACACACAATCGCGTTATGCCAAACCGAGTCTTCTGTCAAGCATCATTGGCATTAAGGGCTGTGCCCTTCCTGCGTAACGCCGACATTTTGCTAAGTTAATTATGCAACGAACGGAGAACTCTCTCTCTCTCTCTCTCTCTCTCTCTCTCTCTCTCTCTTTTGCCTTCCTCTTTTTACGAATAATACAAATGCGACGTCCACAGTATCAATTTGGGCACGAATTCACGAAGCGGCAAGCGCTCGATAAATCATATCTTAAGAAAAAAATGCTATAAAGTATTTTCTGGAATTTGATAAGAAATAAAATTTGTACTATAGGATACTTTAGTATACTTTTTCCGTCAACACTTACGTTCAAATATTATATTGCATTATGCACGAGATGAATGCAGTTGATATTTTTCAAGAAACATATATTACATATTTAAAATTTATTAATTTACTATTTGCAGTAACTGTTAAATCGTTACCTTGTGTTTGGACAGAGAAAAATTTACATCTCTGTTTCTTTATTTATATTTTACATATTTTTTCCCTTTATTGTCTCTTTATGTGTATAAGGCTGACGGTTCTGAAAGACACTTGCTTCTCCATCAAAAATTGGTAATATAAATGGCATAAACTGACATGCCATGCTGGATTCTCATATATCCATTTTATATAGTCCGCTGCTCATGTACCATTGCCACATTTCGTTTACGTGTCATTCTTATCTTCGCATTTATGACTGAGGATTTATTCGCGGCGCCTCGGTCCGGTAAGAAAGTATTTTTCTTTGCCGGGTCGTCTTATAAGTCTCATTTTTACCGTTAAGCCGTCCGTGGCGCGCGCGAGACAGAAAAGGAGGACGATAGGAGGCGACCGGCGGCGAGAATAATGTATATACACCACCGGGGGTGAGGAAGGGTAATGGAGAGAAGCGGATGGGCCCTGGGATGCAGGGTGTAGGATGAGAGGCGGCGGCGCGACGTGCGAAAGAGAGAGAGAGAGAGAGAGAGAGAGCGAGAGAGAGAGAGAGAGGGGGTTTTTTCTTTGCGCAAAGCGAAATAAATGCCACTCGTAGAGCTGTGCGACACCATTTTACCGTTGGTGGAAAACTGAGCGGCCCCGAACAGCATCAGTCGCTTAACTGCATGTTCGAGAAGGATGAGGCGGATAAGGTGGCGAGAAATAGAGAGGGCGGTCGAGGGTGGTCTTACGAGGACAAAAAATGTAGCGATAGAGAGAAAAGGAGGGAGAGAGAAAGAGAATGCGGATGCTGCTGATGCCAGCCGTGCAGGCGCACATTCGAGCGATTTCGATGGATACCCTCCTGGCCTTTTGTAAATAGCGGATAGAAACCGTGACGCGGTATCGATCAGGATGCGCGATATGTCGAAAACGAGCGAGTCAGGCACGGCGAAATGGCACGTAAGCAATGACGATAACGGGAGCGCGCGCGTTTCAGGAACCGCGTTTTCGTGAGACGGCACACGATGGTGTGTAATCCCGGAAGGCACGGGAAATATTATTTTTTTTTTATATATCGTGCTTTTTCACCTAACAAAAACGCGGAACGGTACAGCGATGCGTGAAGCAATGCGTTCGTGCAGTACACCTTTTTGTTTGTGAAAAATGTGTTTGACTCGCACTTTTCGAATTCATTCGTTTCACGATCGCGTTGAATGTGAATGGTAATCCTACCGTTAAAAAAATAATCAGTTTTGCGTGCAGAAAGATGTGGCTGCTACAGAATAAAACAAAAAGCATTTCTCTTTATTGTGTGTACGTGTATTTTTTTGTTTCTTTATAATATTGCACACTTATATTACAAAGACAAATCGTTTTACTTTATATTGTAGTAGTTACACCTTTTAAAAATAAAAGACTTCGAAATAAAAAAATATAAAAAAATATGTGGAATTTTTTATATTTTTCTACTCTGAAAATTTTTAAAGATATTCTGATACTCTCTGTGTGCTATACGCGTGTACAACCATATCTATATATAGGGTGCCTAAAGTCTGTCCTCATCTCCTATATTTCAGAAACAGTTTAAAATTATGAAAAATCACGAAACACATGTTCAATCATTTCGAGGAACATACTCTTTTGAAAAGGTTAGTCGCGGTTTTTTAATAATTTTGAACCGGTTTCGAAATACAAAGGGTGGGACGCACTTTGTAGACACCCTGTATATAACCAGAAAGAATAACCGGTGGAAGTAAACGACAATCACGCGTGGCCTCTCCGGCAAACAAACCTTTCTTCCCTTCAAAATTTTATACACCTTCCACGAATGCGGTGAGCTTTTCCAGGGCTTTTTCAGCTCCGGTCGCATACATACAAAACGCGTGCCGCCGCGCTGCTCGCCGATGCATGCATATGTATACATACTCGTACGTCGCACCAAAGAGCAGCACACGTGGCGCTCTGGCCGTGAACGATTCAGGGAGTCCAGAATATTCTTCCTCGACTTATACGTGTCTCGAATGAGAAAAGGGAGCGCGACAGGACGGTCCAGCGAGCGCAAAGTTGCACCGGAGGAAAAAGCGACAGACCGAGACGACCTCCGCGTCGCGTGTTCGCAGACGAATAATTCACGAAATTCGATTTCTTTCTGCCTTTCTCATCGCCGCCACGGTCGTGACACTCGTGACGCACGCGATGAGTCTCTCGAAAAAAAGAACACGCGCGAGAATACGAAAGAAAATCGCGTAGGAGACACACGTCGTCATCCCCGAACCTTCTCCCTAATAAATAAATAATGCATAGGCAGGTGAATATCGATCGCCTGGTATAAATAATGACCCGGTGGTTATTTTATAAATCAAACAAAAAAAAAATAAAAAAAATCGTCCGCACATGCTTCGTAAAATTTGTTCGCACGGTATATCGATATATCTGACTATTATTGACGTTCATGTCAAAAGTCTGCAATTCGCGCCGTCGGTATAACGATAGTTAACTTCGGTGCGGCGAGAACGCCGATTTACGAAACAGATGTTTTGTCATGTTCGGGGATTTATTTTGCAAGACAGAATACGTAAATACCGGTAAACACAGCTTGGATTACCTGAAATTATCCGATGTTTACAACGGCATTGTTACGAGCGATTGTAGTGCGCATTGAATGACGTTTATATAATTGTTACCCGGCAACGAATTAACTAACCGATACGTAAATTGTATTGTAGAAATGCCAGCCAGTCTGTAATGAATCGTTGAATCGAATGCATATATAATCTGAAATCTGTATAATCGGAAATACATTTGGTCATCTTGTTAAATAGTTTCGTCTCGTTAAATGATATAATAATGGCTAAATTTTTTTTTCAAATACAAAAGCAAACTTTTACCTTAACAGAAATGATGTAAAAACAATGCAAACGAGATAGAGGATAAACAACGGCATATTAAAATGATGAGAAATAATTATAAAGAATAAAAAAAGAGATCAATAAGAAATATATAATTAAAAACACATACAGTTAATAATTTAAAAAAGAATGTACGCGCAATTATAAATGCGAAAGGTAACACAGTGAATTATAGAGAGAGAAAATATGCGAAGAGCAGAGAACGGGAACGTTCTCAGACGGCAATTTTGTAAATTCTTAATTTGCAGAAAGTGCACAGCGCGGTCAACGCGGGAATGCGGTGAAATTATTCACCAAAAAAAAGAAAAAGAAAAAAAAAGAAAAACATCGGAAGCTAAGATGAAATCGCAAGGAACTTTTCGCCGTATTAAATGACTGCCATTGAAAGTTAACCGTTGCCGGTGCTTACGGTGCTTTTTTAATGTCGGCTGGAAGATTAAACGTCTCATCGGGAGAGCCTTTGGTCCGCTATTTTTAATAAAGCAACGGGCGCGTCTTATTCCGCGGTACTATATACATATATACCACTTTCGTTTTACCCTAGTTTCCCCGCAACTCCTTCATTTGCTCGTTGGATCGTAAGAAATGTCCCCTCGTGCTCCGACATTTTTATTTATCCTGCCTTTACCCCCACCTCCCCCCCTCCCTTCCTCATTCTTTGCGTATCACGCCGCGAATTCGTACGATGCCCGGAGAGAGATACGTGAGCTTTTTCCTAAGACGTGCCCAAGAATGGCATGATCCTTCCCGCGTCATCGGCAATCCGAAACTACCCCGCCAGGCGGTAGACGTAAACGTGGATGACGACCAGCGCACGTTTTCGTTTTGTCGTAAAACATAAAGTAGAATTCGCCTTATCGCATAGCGACATTTGTAGGCATTTAATTTTTCCTTATCTTCTTGACAGAGGCATGTTCAAACGCACATACACGCGTATTTTAAGAAATTCATATCTGCAGCATTAAATCAAAATATCGTTTGTAAATATATTGTAATATTATGTTTTATACATTAAATCTGATTGTTATAAATCTAATGAGAAATTATTTTTTTATATAATTAGAATAAATATTGTGCATAAAGCAGTTAAAAACTTACACTCTCTTTAACAGAAACAGTAAATTGACAATAATTTAAATTTTTTTCCAATCACACATGATATATAAAATTACATCAATTTTCTCATTCGTGTTTTTTCTCGTTCACAAAACTTGCGTTGTTTTTATTATCGCAAGCGACATTCTTGAATAATTAAAGCTACCGAGAAATATCGTTATCATTTCATACGAGTGTCGCTATAACCACATTGTTAAAATGCAAACGAAGAATTCGCGGCCATCTTGAGAGAAGCTGCGACACGTGTTTCCACTGTCGTTTCGTTTAAGAACAGATGCAATGCCGACAGTCGCATTACGCGTATCCCAATAGTCTCTTTCGCGAAATAATCATGTACACGGAAACACTTCCACGCGCGCAGTCAAGAAGGACGAGTTCCAAATGGTTATGGCGTGCATGCGAACAACATTTATTTTCTCGTCGTTTGCATATTGTCGTTTCGAAGTAGGAAAACATGTTGCGGTTTCGCAACAATTAATAAAACGTAACTTCAAATTGATACTATCATCTTGAATGGATTAAGCATAAATATCGCGAGTGCTTAATCTTAAATTTCTCTTATTTTTTCAGCATATTTGGGCTTTACTGCGTATAATTGAAAATATGCTTTAATCAACGAAAATGTACAGTTGAAACAGACCGTCATTATAACATTTATTAATGAATTTTATTTTTCGGTGAATAATCCGTGGCACCCAAAGCCAATCATATACATTTTAATCTATTTTCTTAACATTCGAAATCTTATTTTTCTCTCGGCCTCGCTAATTGACACGATTCACTCGAATTTCCACAAGCGTTGTAAAATCGATCAGACATATCTGCCGTTGATAGCGACGCGCTGTCGGGTCTAATTTTATCCGATAAATGCATTTCGTTCTCTCGGCACAAACGATGGAAGGTTAAAGACCTTTTCTCTGACAATTATTTTCACGAACCTGTTACGCCCGATGCCCCCGTAAGTCTGCCCGTGACAGGATAACTTCGGCTATTTGGCGATAATAGCGACAACGATCGGAGCCGGGAAACAAACGAGAAATCGATTTGAATTATTAAGGCAGAGGAAATATGACGACGACACGACGGGTAGGTATTGATGGAGAGTAGAGCGAAATACAATTATATCCGTTTACCGGTGCGGGATCGGGAAAATACCGTTACGCGCGCAATTAACGGCGCAGATTGATCCCCCGCGTTTGTACATGCGTTTGCACGTGGGTATATATGCGGGAGAAATACGGGGACCTCTTCTCTCCCTCCCTCCCTCCCTTCCATCAACTCCCTGTGAAAAACACACACGCACGCGCGTTTACAAAATAGGCGCATCCGGGCGTGAGAATTTACCGGCCTTGATGTCGCTCGTTAACGATCGCTCGAGATTTGCGCCGCGCGATTTTCACCCGATGATCCATTTGAACCGCGGCGCGGATTATCGTTGACGGTGTCTGCTGCACCGCGCGTATTTTCACCGTCACCGGTATATGCGAGCGTAATGAACGCGGACGTGTGCAACGAGGAAGATTGATTTGACGGATATGACGACTTAGTAATATGCCCCCGCGTCGCCCACCGCACGATGGCCCGTTTTATTAAAAGCCCCGGCGCGCGCGCAGGTGTAAAACCAGATTTACCCTCCGAGAACGAAGAATTTGCACATCAAGGCTAATATCATTTTAACGCGGTGCTCGTTTCTTACGCGTGAGCTCGTATGAAAAAAAGGTAGCTTACGTTGTAGATTCATCGTCGCATAAAATGGTCAATTTTTTAATAGCGTTATTTGATCGTTATATTAAAGTAATAATTATTAATCGACTAATATATTAGTCGATTAATAATTATTATTTTAGTATCATTAAAATGCTCATGTATAATGTTATTTGCGTTGGAATTTGACGGAGATTGTGTGCAAAAAAGATATTATGTATTCTTTATTGCAATCTGCGAAATAACCTGTAAACGTAAATAGGAAAGTCGTAGGAGATTTTTAAGAGACATTTATAATAAGAAAGAGCGGAAGACAGTAGGAGTACAGTAAAATGCTTTTCTTTTTCCTCTTCGTTTTAACACGCTGTCTATAGAAAAGTAGGTCACATCTCGAGGAGTTCTCTTTTCATAAAATCATTGAGCATTCCCGTAGACTCATATTAACTCGGAGAATTCCTTGTTATGATAATTTCATAATCTATATAATTTATACGTATACATAGATGTTTTTTTTAACAAAGAGAAATGAAAACCATTGTTTTCACTCAAATTATTATACAAGATACGAAAATTATCGTAAAAAAAAATAAACTAAAATCTAAGATCCAAGAAATTCAAATTAGTTACAATTTGTACATGGTGATTTTCTGAATAACATCGCGCGCGCTTGATCCTTCAAATAATTACGATGGTAAGAAAAAAAAACATGAATTTTTCGCAGCGGACGATTGCAGCCGTAGTAGCTGATTGCGCTCGCGCTTCTCTTAAAACAAGTAGAAGGAAAAACGCAATTTTATTGCACCGCGAGAAGAACCCCGGGTAAATGGATCAACGCGAATCGATCTCGGGCAAGCGTTCTCGTTTCCTCGCAAAGCGCAAAAGAAAAATTCACTCAGTTCGAACGAGCGTTTGTCATCGGAACCGCTGATGCGCTCGGGAGCAGTCGCGGAATTAGCTTTGCGAATGCACTCGCGAACGCACTATTGCATTCCGGTCATAGCGGCGCGAGGCGTGCACCCGCGACGCACCACTACAAACGCGACGCGGGCGCGTCGGATTGGGGGGAGAAGGGAGAGCAGGAAGAATAGCGCGGTCGATGAATTCGTCCCCGGGACGAAAGGTCGCGATCCCGCGGACTCGCCGGTAACTGAACCCTTGCGCGTCGTCGTCCCTCAAAAACCGAGCACGTCGTCCTCGCCGGTACAGTCCTTCGCGGCACAGTCGCGCCCGGAAAGGTCGCGAAAACTAGCTCCGTTCTCCGCGCGCGCTTCGCGAAACTAGTTTACGCGGAAGTCTGTCGGACGAGTGCATATTGTGCTTAATAACTTCTGCATAATTTACCAACGAGAGAGCAAGCGAGCGAGAGAGAGAGAGAAAGAGACGAACTAGGTGTCGTCGATGGTGCGGAAACGCTGGTACTGCTCGGGTCAGATGTCATCGCCGGTGTGATCCGCCCTCGCAAAGATCCCCGAAAGTCTAACCTTTCGCGACGGCGACGGCGACGGCGACGGCGACGGCGACGGCTACGGCGACGGGGCGTTACACAACGTAACGCCCGTACGACCGCGTAAATTAACTTTAAGCACGGTTTCGAGATCGTGAGTTTGTAATTCGAGTTACGGCACGCTTTGCATTTTAAGTACCACGCCCGTGCGGGGCTATCGTCGGAACGACTCCGGTCACGATCATTCCCAAGCAGGAGCAAGTATTTTTCGTATCCTGCTGCTAGAGTTTCCACGGATTGCCGAGGGTCACGCTCGGAAAATTTTAATTAACATACCGGCGTTCGCGCGGCAGTCGACTTCGTTTATCTAATTCTCTCCTTCGAACTTTCCCATTTCGCTGAGATCTATCAATATTTCGTCGTTTTTCTTAAGAATCGTCTCATATTTTCAAAAGGATGGAATAAAATTCATTGTTACGAACGCGAATACATGTAAGAGCGGTGTGAGATCTTATTATGTTAAATCGTAAGATTACGCGAAATGACACTTCTTGCATACATTCCATTAAAAGAGATTAAAAGATTAAAACTAAAGAGAAGTAGTTTAACCCTACTGCGTGCCAGTCAAAATTTTAGTTTATTTTATTTCAATAATTTTTATTTTATTTAGTTTATTTTATTTCGATAATTTTTGTATCTTGTATAATAATTTGGGTGAAAACAATGGTTTTCATTTCTTTTTGTTTTTGTAAAAAAAAAAAAACATTTAAATCAAAATAAGTGCATTAATATGTTAAAACTATCCCCTCGGCGGCGAAAGGATTAAATCAGACCTGTCCAAAGTCTCGCAAAATGCCTCCTCCTCGTCGCCGTCTCGCTAAATGAGACGGAGAAAAGAAACGGAGAAGAGCACAGGCTGAAACTATAAATCGTCATTTAAACACGTTTCGTATTCGCAGTCGGTTCTAATTCTGTCGTTAAGAGGAATTACTGCGACGCGCGAGTGACTGCGAATAAGAAGCGTGCCTTGCCCTTCGCTTTTCGAATTGGACAGGCCTGGGTTAAACCTTTCCTCCCGTGCATTATCATATTTCGACTCACAGGTGACGATCAGATGGGCGCTGGCGCGGATCGGCTTGACCCGCAGATATCGTCCGACTTGACACTCGTACTCGCCGTCGTCGGTCAGCGACGCGTCGGTGATTCTCAGGTTGAAGATCCCGGCGTTCTGATCGCCGATCAACTTCAGCCTGGGATGGCCCACGATCTCGCCGTCTGTAACATCAATTCGCTCGTTACGCGTCGAGTATTATATCACTGCACTCGTTGAGCAACGATCAATTGATATAGGATGGAAATTAGCCGATTGATTAATACTTTTCGCCTCGTAGATAAGGAGCGCGGTGAATTCACAAGCGGGGATACGCGGCTAATATAGCGGCTATAATTTTAGATCTGTTTATTAGCGCTTATTCGGTCGGTATGCGAGCACTCTCGGCAAAACGATGCGATTACGATAGGCGGAAGCCGATGAGACCGCTGAGTAATTAACCGCTCGCGCGCTGTCGATAGTTCCGCTCTTGAACGAGGCTCCTCTTTGCAGTCGCGCTTAAATAATAAATCCACGTTGCTATACGTTCTTTAAGTGGGATCGTAAAAGTCGTAATACATATGTTATATGTATAAACGAGATAAATTACAATTTTTGTTCTATTTAATTTTTGTTCTATTTAATCTTGTATTTCATTTATGTTAAATTTGTTTCGTCGTGCACAGGAATTATTTAATTTTAAACATTATGAAAAGTATTAACAAATTTTCTTCAACAGTTAATTAATTTAATTAGTTTATTAATATAATTAATTAATTTGATATTTAGGCTAATCAATTATAAATCGGAAAGTACAATATATTACCGAAAATATTAAATAAAATATATTTTACTCATAAATGGAAAATTTTGAGGAAATAATTAGTCCGTCTGAAAATTAAATTAAAAGCATCACATTTGAGCTAGTAATTTAATGAGATAAAAAAATTCTGCATTTATGTATTTAATATTTTTCTTTTATATATAAAATTACATTGAAAAAAAACGACTTTAGAAAATAAAAATTTTTTTTCTAACAAAATTTCAGTTAACACATTAGGTGCAAAATTTATAGTGTGAGAAATAGATTGTAAAACCACCTACATACACATGTTTATGGGCTGTATGTAATCGTAACGTATACGGCGATGTAAATCCGTGGATGAAGTAGAAAATAACAGGGAGGAGCAACACTGGTGGTTCTTGATTAGTGCGTTAATGTGTTCCCGAAAATTTGCGTGTAAAACAATCCCCCGCGTAAAGCGAAAAACCCAATTTTCTATTGAAAATATAAGCAGCTTTTGTGCGTTTTAATTGGTGGATTTAGACAGGAGCGGGTTTTCCGCGAGGCGTTAATTGTGCAAATACAGGATTATCTGTCTTTACCGAATTTAACGTGCACGATTTGCTATGTATGCATTTTATCTTTGTTATTAACGATACATTTATGTCGAACGACTTTCCGGATCATTCTCTTTTTAAGTGGATTTATCGAAAGCCCAACAGATAGATAAATTTCATTTTACAAATAAATCTTAAATTAAAAAAATTGTGTACATGGTATTGTAAAATGCACGCCTATAGTTTACGTATAAAATTTTGGAAATCTTATCTGGAACTTCTGTTTTCACGCAAAAAAAAAACGTAATTAGCCGTCTTTATCATAATTTTCCAATATTCTTTCATATTTCACGCTGTTCGAGATTCAAACCGGCGAGCGTTAATACCAAGCAAAAACTGGTCTAATCAGTTTTCCTCTGATGGGTAATTGGCGCTCAATTAAGGCCGAAGAGGAAATCAGAAAGTAACGATCCTTCTCCGTTCAATAAATCTTGAATTACATTCCACTGATTATGAGTTTTGAAATTTTCTTTTTTTTTAAATAAATAAATAATCAAATATAAGGAATAACATCCTAGTCATTAGTACAATTCTGAAATTACGCGCCTCTATATTCTGAATATCTCTTGAATTAAAGTAAATAATTACTGTCGATTATTGCCGATATGTATCATAACATCGATATTTTAAAAAAATACTGGAGCAGTGGTTTCTCCAGAAGACATTTGAGAAAAGAATAATCGCAGCAATACGATGTATACATAATTTCAATGTATTGTACTCACTCGGCTGTATGACGTAAGCAAATCCGTCTTTGACCCACTGGACGGTACCGACTCGGTTCCCCACCTCGCAAGAAATTATCACCTCGCCGCCCTCCAGCACGGAACTGTTGTTCGGCCTGACCCGAAAATATTGTCCGTCGCCTGTAACAGAAAGATAAAAATGAATTTCGACTCGGAGGCTGCACTCCTTCGAAGGGACGATAAACTCACGCGTTTCTGCGCTTTGCGGGCGGTTTTTACTCGATGGAGTAAAACGAAGCAAAGCGATGTGTCGATAGACTATAAAATTATGTTTATACCGCGCATTTTCTTTCCCGCAGAAATCGTCTGCGTGAGATTTATGCATATCTATCCGCAAGAAGTATTGCGAGTCAATGACTGATTTTATGACAAATATACTACGATAAATGCTTGATAGATCTTTTATCTCAGACGGGGGCTGCTCACGAGTAACGATTTCCTTATAAAATTTTCTCGTAAAAAATAAATTTGTTACAAATAAATTGATCTCGTATTTTATATGGAGATTTGCGATAAATGAATTTAAATGTCGAGGAATAATTTAATCAAAAAGGCAAATCACATTTTTCTGTACATTTACAAACAAAAAAAAAACAAACAGAAATAGAGAATGACGGTGCTTAATCTTTAGAATTAAAATATTACTCGTTTGTAATAACGAACGAGAGGTAATATATGTATAATATAATATTAACATCGTATCGTTGAAGCTTTAATTTGTCATGCATTAAGCAGTACAAACAAGTGTAATTATGAAAACCAATCCTTCCCGAGGTTTCTACGATACGCTGTCATCATTTCTTAAAAGGAGAAAGAAGCGAATGGCCAATTAATGGTAGAAGGCATGAGCGTAAAAACGAGTCCAGTTAGAAGCCCGTAACTTCGGAATCGATAACTGCGTGGTGGCTAATAACCGTGCGGTTATCCCGGCATTTATCGCGCGACGGCACGTCCAACTTCCGATTCCGTCACTCGCTCGTAATCCACGACTTTACGTTCGGTTGCGTCGATCGTCTTGGCTAATTAACTTTAATTGCACATCCTTTTTTCGCTTCTCGTACATCCCTCGTATGATTATCACGCGAGTCGAGGAAGAGTTTCACGTATCAACTATCAAACTATACGTTAACCTACGTCGGCGCGGCCGTTCAAGTGCCCGCGCGCCGAGTTTACCGAGAAACCGTACCCATCCGCTCTCGCGGGCTCTCGGTATAATTTCCCATTTTTCAGCCGACGATAGTGAGGTTCTAATTTCTCCTTATTGAACATCGTAAAGATGCAGCCCTACGCGAACGCGGATCGATTAGGCGCGGCTTTCGCAACGGCGGTTGGCAATGAGAGAAAGAGAGAGAAGCGCAATAATTATGCCGCTAATGTCGGCGATCACGCAAGCCGCTAAGCTCTCACCGATACCTACACCGCGCTCTGCCGCTCGAAGAATCAAGGTAATCGGATGGGTTTGGCTTCGATACGATCGATAATCCCTGTACCGCATGGTATTCCACGTCTGTACCGCACCACGGTACCGCACACACGCGCGGAGATCGGTCCGCGTTACGCATTATACATATATATATTATTTCTCCCTTTGTCCCCCGCGTGCGCCGCCGCCGCGTTAAAAGCGAACTCGACACGACTCGTGTTGTGTCGACTGACGATATCAATTAGTTATGCAATTACGCCAATAAACGTAAATAATAATAGAAATTATAATTTGGGACAATCCAATAAGAGAGAGACGTGAAATACTGACTTTGCCTATCTAATCGCGCGATTTGGCCGTTCCACATTTTCTCCCTCCCTCTTTTTCTGTGTCGCATCAGCTTGAAAAATCGTATATTCATTTTGACATATGTAAAACTACTAAATATGTATCTTTCAACAGTGTTTCCATATGGCGGCTTATCATGAAAAATTGATACATATATTGCGACAAAAATGAAAAGATTGGTATAGGCTATGTAAAGTGATTTACAATTGAATTTATATTGAAAACGGCGCAGCCCTTGCGTTTTTTTTTCGACTAAACTGAATTGAATCAACGACGCTTTTCAAAACCTCAACTCCTCTACTCGTGTTTTGTCTGAAAGAGACACGTGTCTATCATTCATCATTGCATCAATAATACACGGATATACGTTCTCGCAAATCTCGTGTTAGTTTTGAAAATAATACAGATCATAAATTATCACTTATAATTTCATTTCAGCGTAAAAATATTCACTCCTCTTGGTCAATTAGTTTTATTACAAAGCGCAGGATGAATAAAGCACAATCGTTGCTGCGATTCTATACGATTTTTATTTGATTGAATGCAGTTTATATTTTTAATATCGACTTTATATAATAGTATCTCAATAACAACAATAAAAATAAAATTCTTTTAAATAATAATTATAATTTGAATAAGATTTGAAAAAATTTTTTATTCTAAAAATAAAATATATATTTTAAGATTAAATTAACACATATATTGCGTAGAAAATTTCTTCGTAACAAAAAGGATTGCCATTAATTTAATGATCTCCCCTCATGTATACGCCTTACAATTTCATAATAGTTGTACAGTTTTGTTGTATGACTCTATTACAACTGCTTTATTTGCTCGAATACGATACGATTTACGCTTGCTATAAAATTGATTAAATTGCCTTTCGCAGCCTAAGCGAGCGATTTAATCGTGCCGTTGTAAAAAAAAACCTAATGTATCGTAAACCAGTGGTGCTATACGAGAACGAGACCCTTGCGCTCCTCGCGATCTTGCATTTTTCAAAAGGCAATTAATTTTCGCGAAACAGATTGCATTTGCTAGTAGATTTGCGATGACGCGCTTAAGCGAAAACTCATTCGTGCAATACGCATACGCACTTGGGATGATTCATCCAGGATGATCGTCCGGAGTGAACCGTGTAAATTGGGTTTCGAGCGGTCGCCTAGCCTGTGGCCCGAATTTACGCAATCCCGCCCGTCCAAATGCAACGTCAATAAAATATAGGTGAGTCGGCCAACCGAGGTCTAAACGCGATTCGACTGGCGTCGTTTAATTTTGTAGCACAGACCGGACCCGGTCGACGCTGCGATTCGTCCAAAGGGATTCAATGATTGGGCGCGATTGTGGAGAACGGATTAAAACGACGCTGGCCTGGCCGCGGTCGGCGGACGAGAGTTCGAAAACAAACGAGCGACAAGAGATACGAAAATAAAGTTTATAATTGAGTCCACATCGCGGTCACCGGAATTATCCGAATAAAAATTTCATTTAGGCAAAGGGCTCGGATAAGTGAAAAAAGGAATTAACTTCATCTTCATATGGATAAATGTTCCGTTCGAATGGAAATTTATTCGAAGTTAAAATTTATTTTGAACTCTTTATGTTATAAAATATACTTTTGATCACAACAGATAATCTATTTATGGTTAATTTATCAGAAATAATTTTATATATATATTGTGCTCTTGATGATTTAAAAAATTATTATTCAAGTCGATGAATAATTTTTCGTTGAATGCAGATAGAAAGGGACACGCAGCAAAATTAAACTGAAAAGAGAATAAAGTTGGTCTTTTGGATTATATTTTAAAGAAGAAATAATATATTTTAATTCAATTAATTTTATTTAATTGAGTTTATTAACACGATATTAAATGCTATGTATTTTTTCCATTTACGAAACATTTTTCCAAAAAATCTTGAATTTTTTTCAATTCTCGATGTTTCTTTCTCCCTTCTAACACAAAAAGCAAATACCGGTAAATCTTTCTGAACGTGCTGATAGAACATAAATCGTTAAAAATATCGCAGCGTTATAACTATTTTATACTGCCGCGAATGCATACAAAGCCGGCTTTAACAGCCGGAAAGACGATAAATAATTGTCATGGCAGCAAGCACAAGCTCCACGGGAGTGAGCGTAACGTCGTGGCGTATATGTAACAACGCTTCGGCCGATTGCTTAAGTAAAATTTATCTTAACGCGCCAAAGCTTTCAGCGGACTCTTAATTGACGCAGAGCGGAAAACGCGCGTAATCAGCCTAGAGCGAAATAAACATCTCAGCCGAAGGGCCGAGAAAGGAAAAAAGAAGGAGAAAGAGAGAAAGAGAGAGAGAAAAGCAGTGGCAAATCTGCCGCATGAATTACGGCGATTATCGGCGTCGCAACCTTTTCCCGTCCAGTCCGCATTGCGTTACGCGCAATGCAACTTTATGCACAATCGGTACATTCTAATAAGAGTGCATTTTTTGCATCACGATCCACGAAGGGCTTTCCACAAATTTCCGCGTAAATTTGTTTCGAATAAAAAATGTCGAGCCATCAGCTGTTTTTGAATTATAAATTATTGGAGATGTCATCTGCATGCATGCGGCAGACTTTCAGGAATTAATTTTCAGAGAGAGTACATAAAAATTGATCATTAAACATTATCTCGTGTTTAATTCAATTTAAATATGGACGATTTATTATATGTGTGTCGATGTGACTTTTTTTTTATTTATTCGACTATTAGTCGCGAAAATATCCGCGGATGAAACGATGGAGAATTCACGAGAAAATACGGAGTCGAAGGGGATTTTTGCGGAGGGGAAGGTCGACTGCAAATTGGCGGAAGGACAGGGAGGAAGTGCACACGGTACGGAATCCGGTATATATATATATATATATATATATATATACATATATATATGTACATCCGGTACGTACCGGCTTAGACCTCTCCTCTGGTTTTGTTTATTTCAGCGCGAGCCGCGGATTAAATCGCGCTCCTGTTCTTATTTCAACCGCGCGAAAAGTGTCGCTCTCGGATAGACGATTCACAATGTCACCGTGGCCGGCTCGCGCGCGCGTTAAATTCCGCGATTAATCACCGCGGCGCCGCCGCGTTGATCAATTATTGAGCGCGCTTTTTTATCCGCGTGTTGAAACATCGTTGGCTTTCCCTTGCGCGAACCGTACCTATTTACCTTTCCACCGTATTACCGGCAATTCTATGTAGATCTCACTTCCTTCCCGCGCTCTCTGCCATTAGAATTTCAAGCGTGGATCCGGCTCCGGGAATTTTCGATAAAATCACTCCCGTCGTCCTTCTTCCCGTCCTCTTACGACGGGCAGATAGAACCCGGCGTACTTCTTAAGCCCTATTCATCGCTCGATCAGCTCGTCTTATCCGCTTTAATTTATTAATTTTAATGGCAGAGGAGAGAGAGAGAGAGAGAGAGAGAGAGAGAGAGAATCGGCAGTTCGTTAATCTGAGAGGAAAAAAAGGAACTGAATTGTGTACTCGAGTACCTAAGTAGAAATTAGATCACTTTTGCGAACGTGTTTTATACTGCAATTTTTTTTTATTATCTTTGCATTATTCGTCAAAGACCGCGATTGAGGAGAGGATTAAGTACTTTAGCATCATCATTGAAAAAGTTCCGATGAGAAAAGAGAAACCTCCTCATGCTTGATTGCATCAACACGAATTTGCACGTGACAATTGTACCGTCCTAGTAGAGTCATTCATTCTCGAGACCGTCGTTAGCTCAAAACATCCTCCGTGTTGTTCCGTTTATCTCCCACCATCGCCAGCCAAATATTAACGTCGTTGAATTCGCAGGCATAACAAATTCCGCATTTCGTGCTTTCTTGTCCCGATCGGGTGGATTCTGTCACCCGCAATGAAAAGGTGGCATAATGACTGGGAGGAGGGTGGGAGAGGAGTAAGGAGGAGATGCACAGAATCTCTCTCTCCCGTTCTTTCCGCCTCTCTCGTATTCTGTAGGGAAACGACGATCCTTCGCTTCTTCCGCCGCCACCTCCTCCTCCACCCCCGTCGCCTCCTTCTTGCGCTCGAAAATGCAATTTCCAGCATTGCGACGACATCTAATTCAATCCGCGCCCATTTCTTCCCAGCTTTTGTGTTCCGCCTTAAGTTTCAGTCTTAACGCAAATTTACGCTTTCGACGATTTATCGCGAATCATTTAAATCGGAAAAGATGAGCCGTAATGCGTAATGGTTCGGGGGGAGGGGGGGGGGGCCGATGATTCGTCATGGAGGAAATCGGAGATTGTTTCCTCGGGCCGTTCGTTTTGGCTATTGGGATTCGATTTCGTCATGATTTCGACCGGGGTCAAATTTTAATTCCGCTGCATACATGTGCATAAATCATGTCTGGATTAATTCATGTGAAACACGATAATCGATGTATCTGAATATTTTATATCATAAATTACAAAATGTTAGATTATCTAACGTATCTATGCCGGATATGCACATAATCACCGAGAGTACGTGTCGATTTCAATTCCCCCGTTTCGTGTGTGATCGTTTGCATGGAAATACAGAAAACGTTAATGTATAATACTCTCATAAATCCAGCTGTGTGAAGTTGACTCTCTTACTACTGAAAATCCACTAACGATCATTACTGCTCGATTGGTGGTCGTTTGGTAGTATTTGGTAGTCCATTGCCGATGAACGATAGTCAAAGTTGCGAATAATAATACGCAAAAA